AAACTGACTTTGCTATGCGTAGACAGGTTTTGAAACTGAAGTCCACGACGTAACTAAGGCAGGACAATAACAAACGAGTGAGCTCCCGTCCACGTTTATTCGTAATGCACAGGTATTCATAGTGAGCTTTATTATTTTGAAATAAAATGCAAACCATTTTCATTGCTGACGTGCCCAAAATATTGTGTCGCTTGCCGATGGCACACGTGCCACTGGTTTAACATCCCTGGCCTATAGCATTTACAGACGTATAATTAAATAAGCTTATCGGTTTAATTTCTTTTTATTTGGAGTGGTGTAACACGGATGTGTGAAAAATAACTAATATTCAAAAATTTCAGTATTGCTTGGTTTGAATTAGATAAGATTAAACTTTCAAATAAGGTCCAAAAAGATAGGTTTACTGTAATCACTTTTAACTATAACTTGTTTTAAATTCTCGAACATAACATTAAGCTCAAATCAAACTTTGTTTTATCTGTTAGTGTTTCATTTACCGTAAATATTAATTTTATGAACTGACACACGGTTAATTCTGACAAAAAGCAAACATTTTTTTCCCCTTAATACTTTCATTTTCCTTAGCATGTTTCTCAACGTAAATTAACTTTTGTTTTTCTTTGTGTTTAGATTCTTAATCTTCTTGAATTTTGTGTTTCAGAAAACTTTTGACGGAGTGAATTGGAGCATCAGTTCTCTCTCTTTCTCCACGTGGAGAAAAATACTAAAAGCCTTTTTCTTGAAATTAATTCATATTTTTAAGATAATGAAAACATTTATTTCAATCTGATTTATTAATCACTTAATATCTGTTTAATTGAAAGTTACTTTTGTTAAAAATTTGGCAGATTAAGTTTAACCTCGCATTATTTTAATGCGTTTCATTTCATCATCTTCTGATTCTTATCACAAATAAATTAAATTCTATTATTATCTTATTTAATCATTCCATTATCTTTTTATTTCATTATCTTATTATCCATTTAGTAAATTTAAGGGAAAACTTTTATGAAAATGAAGAAAGTAAAAATATTAATGTATGTAAGAAATTGGTCATACTAATAACTTTCTTCCATAAGGATCAAAAGTATATATTTGTTTATGATACAAAGTGTTCATTTCTATAATACGAGTATGGTTTTTATGAAATGTTACGTATTCTATTGTGGCAATGCAGAAATTGAATTTTGATCATTTATGTATACACTGTCTGTAAAAGTATAATTAAAAACATTTACAAAGCGTTAATTCTAATTTAAAGTTTGCTTAGTATAGTTAAAATAATTTCAAAAAGGGCTATGTTGTTGGTTTTAAATGACGTCGATTTTTGATATTCTAATTTGAACTAGAAAATTATTTAGTGACTTCAAAGTAGATGAAAATAAAATATAATATTTAATGGCTTTTAGAATAAACCTGTATTTCAATTAAATAGGGGTCTTTATTTTGAAAATAATAAATCAAACAAACAAACCTTATAATGCAAAAATTGAATTTTTTAGAGAAAGTATATCCCTGACTTGAGCAATATAACCAATGTGCAAACACACATTTTCAAAAAAAAAAAACGAAATACAACTTGATGGAAGTACTTATTTTTATTAAAATTGAAACTGGATGTGTAAAACTCATACACAGGTAATAAAATTATTAAATTCAAAGCCGTACGATTCCTGGGAGGCTAGCAAAATGAATAAATCAATGTTTAAATCAGAAATGGATGACCCCGCCCCGGTAGTTATGCATGCTTGTGTACGTGGATGTAAGAACGATAAAAATTCCAGATCTCATCTTATGGTGCATTCGGCTTGACATTCATCAATTGTTACTCCAGATCTGTATCATTTCAAGGTACTCGAATCAGTAATTTACCCTGTTCCTCACGTTTTCGATAAAGATGAAATGTCTGTTGACCTTCGTAGCCAAGAAAAAGTATCAACCACACGAAGGCAGTTCAGAGATATGCAAGCCATATGGGTCTTGACATTAGTTTGCTTGATAATGGCCCTAGGATGAAATGACATGAGAGGAATCACAAATGATTACATTATATCATGAACATATCATTAACTGTTGAAATTATAATGAATCGCGATTGCTGTCTTCAGAGATAGCACTAGATATCATTAGACCGAGGATAATGGTTGTATGCCTCTTCAAAACGAAAGCTGATCGGGGCCCCATCACTTCTACTCAATGATCCCATGGTCATGAGCTCTACGTTTGAATCGAGAACCATTATTTACAGTATGCAAAGCCGATTTACCTGCAACCGTAATGATCCACTGATTTCACACTAAATCAAGGTAGATGAAACTTTTATAAATAAATTTAGTTGAATATATAAATGCATCACACTGACAAACTTTTTTGAGAAAATATATTGTTTTTTTAAAAGTGAAATATCCAAGGTTGGGTCATGTTGCCAAAGAATATGAATACCACTGATTTAGACCAGGAGTATAGAAACTATGGTCCACGAGCACCTCCAATACAACCTATCAAAATTATTTTAATTGCATTGTCAAATAAATAAATCATAAAAACTAATTAAATGATGTAAAATGAAATTAAGCATTATAATAATGATTAATAAGATTTATGTAGCTTTAATTTTCGGTAACTAATTGTTTGCATGGTTAAGGCTCTATGTTTAGTAGAGTGTTACACATCGGCAGAAATATACTCATCAGTTGCGGATTAGTAAATATTTTTGTATTCCTCACTATGGAGAATTTCTTTTGAAATAGATAATGATTTATGTTTGAGATAATGTTTATTGACACGAGTAAATAATTTATCCAGTTGATAAAAATGTGTGAAGTAAAAGACACTTAAAAATATTCTAGCAAAAAAATCATGGGTTTATAAAAAATTTTTAAGGACAACTGTACACTGAAATCCACCATTTCTATCTGAAGTTCTGGGACAAGGGATTTCGAAAATCCTTAATATCGTTTGTAGTCTCATTGAGATTTGAAAAACAAAACAAATTTACTTTTATCGTACCCAAAATTTCAGTTGCAAAGAGAAATGGAATCACCTCACTTTCTAGCTAGTCCAGAAACGAAAATTTGCTCCCAATTCAAAACTTCAGTACGTTGATTTGTTGACCTGGCTAAGCTCTTGGGATTTAATGACGGAGTTAGTGTGACTCTTAGGTTGAAAAATTTGGAACCTGATTTAGGCGATTCTGCCGATGTTGTAGGATTAAAGGTAGGTAGGCATCTTAAAGGCCTCTCTGTGAGCGTTACTTCGCCACAACTAAGTGCCGAGGATGGTGGGAAGGTGCAATGCAGGTATGGGAAGAGACAGAGATTAGGTGACGGGACCGTTTTGTTTCGACAGATTGGATCAATTGCATAATCATCAGTCTTACCACCCATTCAAGTACCTAGGTTTTCAGAGATGTCATTCCGTTGCTTAGTCTAGCAGCAATGATCGATATGATTGCTGCTAACACCCTTTATGGAACCTAATAATAGAAACTTTACTTTGGAAGCTAATAATAGAAATCTTTTTTTTTTTTGCTATGAAAGCTAACAAATGATGCTTATTTCATAAAACAATGGTTTGATAACTGTACCCAATAAAATGCTCAATATAAAAAAATTAACAATAACTTGTTACCACAAAATTCCTTCTTTTACATGCCATTATAAAATTCATAATAAGAAAATGACGATTGTTCGTTGCACAACATTCATCGTAGCATAAATGAAAATCTTTCGTAATGTATGTAGTTTTTATTTTGAATGCTTCACAGAACAAATGAAAATAAGAGTAACAAAAAAACTACATTTGAAAATAATGCCAAAAATATTATTTATGTATACTTTTATAAAAATTCATCTCTTTAAACAAAAAAAAATTAGACAAACGATTCGCAATTTTTATTTTACACAAACATTTAATTATTCTTCTACAAGAACAATTTCCAAAAAGAGAGGCTTCATTCATTGTTATAGAACCCACTACAACAATAAATGACTCTCGAATATTAAAAATAGAAAATAAATACAATTGTCTTGAGAACAAAATAAATCGAGGTGAAGTTTTCGAATGTTTGTTTACTCAGTTCGAATTTTTGAATTTTAAATCGGGTGGAAACAATATTTAAGTTATTAACATTTACTTCTGAGGGTCACTGACGTCATGTAACGCACATAAGTGGTGTGGTAGAAATGAGCTCAACTTCGCAACTCAGGTCAAAGTCCCATTTTCTTTGTGAATGTGCCGTGTTTTCCCGCTCGATTTTTCTTTCTACCAATGCAACCGGTGTCTTCACTTTGAAATTTCCCGCCTGCGCGCCTTACAAGTTTCAACGGGAAATTAACATGCTTTCGCGCGTGACACAGGAGATAAATTTAGTGGGAACATTCCAGACTCGTTCCGGATCTGATGGAAACAATATTAAGTGCGTGGCGGAAGCTGCCTAATGATCGAGAGGAGGTTCAACTACATCTCATAACTGATTGACATAGTTTGTGGGCAATGTGGTGAGATGAGTGTCAAAAGTGTGGAAAAGAGAGTAGCTCGTGAAAAATTAGTCGCTCAAAGTGTAATCGAATAAGACCTTTATATAATTATAGAATTCATCAATAGTTCCAAGAACTGACTTGATGATCTATCGAACATATTTTGATTTAATTCTTTTGCTCAAATTGGTATGGCACTTGAAGTTAAATTCAAATCAAACATAGAAAACAAGTAATATTAAAAAAAATTAAGTCAATTCCTACTTAGGTCAACAAAGAAAAAAATTATTTTAGTTACCTTTTATTAAATAGTTGCAATGAATATAAATATATATATACATATAACACAGAATCAGAATAACAATATTAAGTGACAAAATAGAAAGTGTGATTTTCCATTTTTCTTTTTATATAGGGTGTTGGACTACATTTTTGTTTATTACTATTTAATTCATTAATTAAATAGAATTATTCTAATAAAATAGAAAAGTAAAAAAGAAATTACATTCTGAGAAATTAGGCCATCCCAGGAGGGATTCGAGCCCTCAACCTTTAGATTAGAAGTCCAACGCGCTATCCACTGCGCTACAGGGACGCAACGAACTTTTTACTCTCAAAAATTGCTATTGAACTATTATTTTTTCTTTTTTTTTTCATTTTAATTTAATTAATGAATTAATATTTGAAAAAATTATTAACATCAAGTGTCATCCACTACAAGTTTAAAATATGTATTCGAACTTGAATGGATGAATAGAAAGTATTTTATTAACGATTGAAAATTTGAACAAGATATATATATATATAGGGAGAGAGTGAACTAAATATTATAGAGGAAAATTGAATAGTAAATTCATTCATCAAATATATAACGTAACGAATCTTTTTTAATATACCTATAAGCTACTAATTGATATTAGTAGCTTATGACATAAATGATGACATAAAATTTATTTTCACGTTCTTAAATGCTTTATGCAAAATTTTTAATGTTCCTTAACAAATGAATATTTTTTTATATTTCTTAGAAACTTTTACACAATTACGATCAATTTTTTACCCCTCAACTTTTAGTAACTCATTTCAAAAACTCGTATATCTAAATATTTGCTGCTTGTCTCTGTTCTTGCTCTGTCACTGCTCTTATCTATTAATATAGCTACAAAATATATAAATATTTTAAAGGAATTATGCTTGTGATATAGACATATAAATAGAATTTTAGTGTTAAATGAAATTCAACTTGAATATTCTTCACGAATGTATTTAATGAAAATACAACACAAGTTACTGAATTTAACTTTATGATTATTTTGACGGAAACAAATCGAATTTTTTTTTTGCCATAAGATTGGTGGTTTTATGAAAGAGGTAATAATACACACCTATAAAAAATTATGAAATAATTATAGCACATTCATCATGCATAAAATGAATTAGACACACGAAATGGAAGTCTTCATGGCCCTCTCTTTGTATTTGTGTATGTGTGTCTAAATATGATGCATTTACATTACTATATCTCGAATACATAAATCTTTAAAATAATAAAAATTTTAAAATTCGATTGTTATTGAAAATTAACTTTATTAAAGAAAATTATTTAAAAAAAAAAGAAAGAAAATATGTGGCTTATTTCTGTTGCTAGGTGTTTCGATATTCTTAAAAAAGGTTTTTCGAGGATTAGTTTTGTTTTTCATTAGATCTTATCAAATTAAAATATCTTCCTTTTTAAAAATATGCAACACTATTTATTTTTGTACAAAAATGAACACAGTATTAAATAGATTATATTCCTCAGTAATTTTTATACCAATAAATAAAAAAAACATCAAATCAAGTTTTGTGGTATAAAAATATATTATATTCAAGATTTTTTTATTCTCATACTTTGAAAATTTATTCAGAAGTTTCCTCAGTTTGTTTATCAAATTTAATAGTTATTTTCAAGCAATTAGAGAAAATACAGTTATATTTAATTTTAAATTATTTGCCTTAGAGCAGTGTTTCTCAAACTGTGGGGCACACCCCTAGGGGGACGGGATAACCCTACGAGGGGGCCTGAGTATATCAAAAAGTCGAGAATAAAAGATTATTTTAAAAAGTTATAAAAATTAACTTAAAGGAAGCGAGACATAATACATTCTGACATAAAAAATACACGTTGCACTTTTATTATTATTTGTTACAATTCAAAAACTAGATAAGAAAAGCAACATAATACTTTTCTTATTACTTAAAAGTGCATATAATTTACTGAAAATACCTATTAATTAAAAATTACTTACTTAAAATATCTATTATTTGAAAGTAACATATACAAAATTAAATATTTATCTTGATAATTTGAGTGGTTTATAATTAAGATAGTATGGTAGTTTTAGCGCGTCAAAGTATATTATTATTGCATTCAATACATTGTCATTGTATGGGGGTGAAGAAATTATGATTGAAAATTGGGTCGCAAATAGTGAAACTTTGAGAAGCACTGCCCTAGAGGAAAAAAAGGAATCAAATTCTCGGATATAAAATTCCGAGAAAAAGAATAACAGGAAAAAAAAGGCATTTCTACATAAACTTTCAAAACATGTAGTTGACACTGACACAGCTTATGAAAAAATTGTTATGTGGCTCAATCTGAGGATATTGTTTTTAAGAATATTTATAAAACATGAATATGATTTGAGAATTATTAGAATTGGTTATTCAGTCCTCTCTTCTTAAGAAACAAGATGAAGGCTGATAAAATTTTCACAAAATAAGTTTTGAAAAACGCATGAATGCATGGAATAAGTTTATCATCAAAAAATATTTTTAAACTTTCTATCTTTTTCAAACACGATATTATTTTCGAAATTATTTTTAAAAAATTAGAAATGTTTTTGAAGAAAAATATTGCACAAAAAGTCGTAAATAATCTCTTAATTAAAAAGACTTCAGTATATGCTCGTCAATCTCATTTTTTATACCGTCGCTGACAATAACTCATGATGAAGAGTTTCATACCTAACAAGAAATAGATCTTTTTAACACGCTTTTATTAGCTTCACTTGTATGTAACGGAATCTTTGAACTCGATTTTTACCCACTTTAAAAGGTCAGAGTAATTCGAAATTTTGCACACTTGTCAAGGACTGATGACAATACAATAATTTCATAATATTTTTCCATTATCCTGATCAAGATTAACGATTTCCCATTTCCAGATTTGGCGACAAATTGCAGATTTAGTGACTGAAATTACAACCCTAAATCGAAAACGTTCATGGTTAATACAAATACAACAAACAAAATAAATGATAACCTAAAAACTAAAAAAAACAACGCTTTTATTGTAGATCGAACTAAAGAATGAAAAATAAATTACAGTTTAAAAAAACTAAAATACACTATTTTAAAATGAATCGAACTGCAAAGTAAAAAGATAATTCTTAATATAAGAATAAAATGATCAAAAAGAAAATTAAGGCCATTGTGGTAAAAGAGTAGGGTGCTTGATATCAATTGTTGTAATTTCTTACTAGTTCTATTCCAAAATGCAGAGTTTGTGTAAAAATGTAGTACTAAGCACCCCACGCTTTTACCACAATGACATTAAATTTCTCATTAAACATTTTATTCTTACATTAAGAATTTTTTTTTTCTTTTCAGTTCGATTAACTATAAAATCGTGTTTTTTAGTTTTGTTAAACTGTAATTTATCATAAGAGAAAATTTCAGAAGCATATAGTTTTAACAAATTTTTTAATGAATAGTAGTTATTACGCAAATTAAATTAGTCTTACGGATTCAGCTCGGACTAAGACAAAAAGTTCCAGCTTCTTCTATTTTGGTACAATAAACTCTTCAAAACTACTATGCATAAACGATTTGAATTTCTATGTTTACTGAAACTACTTGACCCCCACGTAAAATTATAGGTTAATCTCTCCTCCAAAGGTGTACATGAGGCTTCTTTCGGGGAGAGGAGCTATTCGACCTCAATGCATGATCTGACTGGAAGTATGTGCAATGTCCCAGCTGCAAAAGTATGTTAGGCGACAGGTCTGCCTTAGAATTTAAGTAATATGACAGAGAATTAAGAAGAGAAATCAAGGTCAGAGAAAGGTCGTGGGGTACTTGGTTGATAAGTGTGCGAGAGAAACGTAGCGAAAGAACCTGGAAGGAAAAAGGTACTTTCAAACAAGGTCACAGAGAAGAAATGCTAACTCATCATCTCTCTGATCCTCGTAGAGAATTTTTAATTAGTTTCTCACGGTATAAATTGGAAAGAATATATTAGAAGTAATGTGGATTTTACTGTTTGGAAGGCTATATATAGGAAAATCTATTAGCTTTGGGGTTCTCAGTTTGAACAGTCCATAAATAGAATTTTCATTATAATAAATTGGTGTGAAAACGAAATTAAATTGGTCTAAGGATATATTATTTCCATTAATGTGAATTTCCAAACTGAAGTGTATTTAAGTTTCTAAAATTGCAATATTCAAATCCAATCAGATGATAGTATTTTGATAACTATGTTTTTCAAGTTTTTCCTCTCTGGTTGGTTTATTTAATGCCAAAATAATATTAATATTTCTTACAATAAATTTAAAAAGAGCATTAATTCATTGCATCAACAGTATTTTATGCAGTAGCTAAATTTCTAATATATTTTATTTCATTTTTAAATCACATCGCACTGTGAAGCAACACGAGGGCTATTGGCGACGGACTTTGCAATTATGAAGAATTTTGAGCCTCCACAAATTTAACATGCATTGACTCCTCGACACGATATGATTTTAGTGGCACTCCGTTTTGAACCAGGAATTCGCTAATGCCGGTCATGAATTTGAAGCCTACAACTGCCACTAAATTTTTAACAGAAATATATTAAGAAGAAAGAAAGCTAAAGAAAGGGATTACTTTTTGAAATTGGTTTTCGTAAGTGAAATATATATATTCAATTTTTTTACTGCAAAAGTATAAACGTTTGCTCAGAAATAAAATTTTCGAATTTTGTATTCATTTTACAAAACATATTAGTTTATTTTCAGTCTAAAGAAATGCATGGAATCCTCTTTACTACGTATCAATTTCAATTCCCTGCTGAAAATAATATGGAAATATGCCAGTTATAAATATTTTAAATTATGATCTTCTTTTCACTTCTTCCAGCATAAAACACAAATTGTTTATTATAACATAACAATAGATAAAAATGACGACGCGTCACTCCACAAAAAACATTTAAATGAAGGTTGAATGCATGAAAATATCAATTAAAGAAAACATTTTCATAAGATACATGATTAAACTTTAATAGTGGAACAAAATGTCAAAATAGATATACAAAAATCTTTCTTCAAATCGTTTTATTTTTCAATGGTCAACCAATATTCATTTCTACCACGCACCCACCTATTTTTGATGTTACCTCTCTATTTACGTAGAAATAGTTTTCCTCTATAAATATTATTACTAAGGTATATCGACGTTCTTTTCTTATGAAGAAAAGTTAACTTCTTATCGTAACGAAAGATTAAGCTCAAAAACTGACATAATGAATTACAAACTCATATACTCAAACAAGAAACAAAAATACTTAGA